GGAGAGGATTTGAAGAGCTACTACTTAAGCTAGAAAGTAATGATTCTCAAAATAATGACAACAGAACGAGACAGAGATATTTAAAGCTCAACCATTTTCCTGTAAGGGCTACAAATAATGTGAATTTAAATCAGGAAGTCTACCACGGCTTCAGCCAACTGTATTCTAGAAGGTTTGTAGCCACACATCCTTCTCTTTTCACAAATTTTCAACGCATTACCACACAATTATCTGGCCGTAAGGTCCAGCAAACAAAGATTTAGTCATAATGAATTTTTTCGAAGCATCTAAAAATCAAGAAATTCACGAGTTTTAGCCCTTCTTTAGAGAAAACTGTGGTCTCAAAATATTTTGTGACCAGGTTTGCCTTTCTTTTTATTCATGGCTCCTGTCGATGCAAATTTCCCGTCCAGTAAAACCGCGACTTTTTCATTTCCGCTCTAACTGGCGTACACTATTGAGCGCTTAAAACATTTAAATTAATATCAAATAATTTAAGTGATACTCGATTTGAAAAGAAACGGACGAGTAACTTTTCAAGCGACAAATTAGCTTTAGAGTTAAGGATAGTTTGATTCCCAAATTTCAAACGTGAAACAAATTAAAGCTGAAGAATGAAAACTGAACTTAGAGGAGGTTTACAATGCTAAATATGTGTTCATTTCCTAAAGCTATTGTTAAAAAGAGACATATGTTACGAAATCCTTCACCTTTTAAAAAAAACTGGATAGAAAAACACAATGACAAATGGAGAGAACAGTAATATATACACAGCATTTTCTCTTCTTTAATGACCACCCTAAGGATAAATGATTGAACCTACTTTAAAGACGAAATTTAAACTCTTACTCTCAGACTCTGACTTTACTCTTTATAACATATACAAGTTATCCTTCTAACGTACCCATCCTCTTTTGTTGATATCAGCTCCGTTTTCTTTACGAAACCTTACAATATCACTGTGAACATTTCTTGCAGCCTCAAAGAGTGGAGCGTCCTTCAAAATATAGAAAAGAAAACAACGAGAAAGTATAGTAATACATAAACCGCATTTTCTCTTCTTTATTGACCACCCTAAGGATATATGGTTGAATCTGCTTTAAAGACAACTACATTCTGATACAAATTTAAATGAAATTTGAACTCTTACTCTCAGACTCTGACTTTACTCTCTATAACATATACAATTTATCCTTCAAACGTACCTGTTTTCCTTCGTTCACATCAGCTCCGATCTCTGTGAGCAACCTTACGATATCAGTGTGACCATTTTTTGCAGCCTCACAGAGTGGGGTGTCCTTCAAAATATAGAAAAGAAAAACAATGAGAAAGTATAGTAATATATAAACCGCATTTTCTATTCTTAAATGACCACCCTAAGGATATATGGTTAAATCTGCTTTTAAAACAACTACATTCTGATACAAATTTAAATGAAATTTAAACTCGTACTCTCAGACTCTGACTTTACTCCTTATAGCATATACAATTTATCCCTTAAACGTACCCATCCTTTGTTGACATCAGCTCCGTTTTGTATGAGCAACCTTACAATATCAGTGTGACCGTTTGTTGCAGCCCCAGGGAGTGCAGTGTCCTTCAAAATATAGAAAAGAAAAACCATTGAGAAAGTATAGTAATATATAAATCGCATTTTCTCTTCTTTAATGACCACCCTAAGGATATATGGTTGAATCTGCTTTTAAGACGACTACATTCTGATACAAATTTAAATGAAATTTAAACTCTTACTCTCAGACTCTGACTTTACTCTTTATAACATATACAATTTTTCCTTCAAACGTACCCCTTCTCCTCCGTTCACATCAGCTCCGTTCTCTATGAGCAACCTTACAATATCAGTGTGACCATGTGTTGCAGCCTTACAGAGTGGGGTCCCCTTCAAAATATAGAAAAGAAAAACAATGAGAAAGTATAGTAATATATAAACCGCATTTTCTATTCTTAAATGACCACCCCAAGAATATATGGTTAAATCTGCTTTTAATACGACTACGTTCTGATACAAATTTAAATGAAATTTAAACTCCTACTCTCAGACTCTGACTTTACTCTTTATAACGTATACAATTTATCCTTCAAACATACCGCTCCTCTTTTGTTGACATCAGCTCCGTTCTCTGTGAGCAACTTTACAATATCAGTGTGACCATTTCTTGCAGCCTCAGAGAGGGGAGTGCCCCTAAAAAACTAGAAAAGAAAAACAATGAGAAAGTATAGTAATGTATAAACCGCATT